ATACAGTAGGTCAAAAATTCAGCGACAGATAGTGTTATTGCTGGGCTCTTGTCTGCTAAAAAAAAAATTAAATCCCTGTCCAGAAAATCTCTCTGCGAAGGGAGAAAAGGGCGAATCAAGATATTGCGCATAACGGAGTATTTGGGACAGCGGAGAAGGATATGGGTAATAGAGTCAGGTTCCCCAAGATTTCAGTTACAAAGTCTATCCCTGTACGGAACACCCCTGTATCTACCTGAAACCACTACTGAAGGGAAAAGGTTGAACCTTGCAAGCATAAAAACTCTCCTAAAAACTGGGGTTATCAGATTAGCGATATACGGTAGCATGGAGGTATGCAAGGGAAGGAGGAGTAATGAATAGGGAGAACAAACTCCAAGACTACCGGCATTAATGGCCTGCGCCTCTATATCCCAAATTCTCCTCCTAACCACCTGTAAGATTGCTGCCTCACCACAGTCTTTCAGCGGCTCCTGGACTCTGGTTCTTTTCTACTGAAGAAGTGAGCCGTGACCAGTGTTCCCTCTAAGCTGAGTTAGTGTGAGCTAGCTCGCAGTTTTTTAGCCTCCGGCTCACATATTTTTGTCCTAGCTCAGGAAGGATGGCTCCAGAGCAGTGGTCCTTCTAAGTTGAGTTTGTATGGGCTAGCTCACAGTTTTTTAGCTTCTGGATCGCAGTTTTGTCTCCGCTGAGGAAGGATGACTCCAGAGCAAACTGATTTATGCACTAGTCAAATCACTCACTCATAACTTTAATGCCAGTAGCTCACAAAGTACATTTTTTTTGCTTACTAGACTCCTCAGCTTAGAGGGAGCATTGCTCCAGAGCAAACTAATTCATGCAGCAGCCAAATCGCTCGCTCAAAACTTTAATGCCAGTAGCTCACAAAGTAGAATTTTTGCTCACAAGACTCCACACTAGAGGGAACATTGCTTCTCCCTTCATCTTCTTTGCCCAGAGGAACTACACCTGTTGAATTTCTGCCTGCCTCATGGCAGTTAAGTGCACAGCAGCACCACCAGAAGTTACAAAACAGATACCTTTCCTCTTGAAATGTGCCACTCTTCTTCTGGAGTCAGCTGAGGCAAAATGATCATCGCAGTCAGAGGGAGGACAGGAGCAGCTGTAGAGTGTACAAAAAACAACACCAGAACTGGAGCTCTGACCAACACCAATAAAAACACCAAACACATTTGTTTTGCCCTTGATTTTACATATAGACAATTCTTGTGGCCTGAGGAGATCTGTCAAGGAAGGGCCTGCAGATCTCCTGGAATTACAACTGATCTCCAGACTAGGGCCCAGTTTCCCTGGAGAAAATGGCTGCTTTGGAGGGTAGACTCTGGTGTTATATCCTGCTGAGGTCCCTCCCCTCCCCAAATCTTGCGCTCCTCAGGCCGTCCAAATCCAGGAATATCCCAGATAACACATGACAACCGTAGGCGTAATGTATGTGCCAGTGAACTGAATATATTTACCTATCGCTATTTACCTTGCCGGCAATTTCCCCTCCGTCTTCCTCTCCTTTCTTACATATAGTTTGGCCCTGAAAGGAAGTTTCAGAATCTGAAAGTAGGTTTTGTAGTGATGGCCACTGACACATATAACCTGCAGATTGTGTGGACAAATATTGTACCAAGACAAATTCCTCCAGGACCGCCTCTCCTGGTATACCCTCCCAAGAGCAATCCGCTCTTTGAACGAAGATCTATTGGTGGTTCCTGGACCAAGAAGTATTCGGTTAGCCTCAACTAGAGGCAGAGCCTTTTCAGCTCTGGCACCGGCCTGGTGGAACGCTCTGCCAGCTGAGATTCGGGGGCTGCAAGGTCTCTCACAGTTCCGCTAGGCCTGTAAAACAGAGCTTATTCCACCAGGCCTAAGGTCAAGGCTCCTGACCGAGGAGAAATAATTACTTCCTCAATGAGTCTCTCCTCTGTTTCCCGTTTTGGCCTTTCCCCAATGCTGATGATTATTCCTTTCTCTGATGAAATTGTACCATATGCGCCATCTGCCCATTATGAGTAGTGTATTATGATTAGTTTGACTTATTTAAATTTTTAATAATTATTTATAGATGTTTTTATAATATGTTGTTACTCACACTGAGGCCTGCTGTACGCAGGGGAGGGCGAGTCAGAAATCTAACAAATAAAATTCTGTGATTCCCGAGTTTTTATTTTACATTTTTCAGATTCTATAAATTACTACCGGATGCTTTTAAATTGAAATCCTTTGATTTAAGCTGTTGCTGGCCTCTGGAAGTCAGTCAAGCTATACTGGGATCCATTTTACTAATTTCAGTAACTCTCTTGGTAGGGTTGCCAGGTCTGGGTTGGGAGACACCTGGAGATTTTGGAGATGGAGGACAGGATTTGGGGAGGGGAGGGGCCTCAGCAGGGTATAAGGCCAGAGAGTCCACCCTCCAAAGCAGCCCTTTTATCCAGGGGAATTGATCTTGGCCATCTGGAGATCAATTGAAATAGAGGGCGATCTCTAGGTGCCACCTGGAGGTTGGCAGCCTATATACTGGGGAGGCCTGGGGTTCATATTAGTTTAAAATTATAAGTCTGACAAGAAGAGAGTGAAGTGGTGAAGCTTTTGCTGACATTGGGGGTGGGGGAAAGCATCACCTGTTGAATTTCCTCCTGTCACCCATCTATTAAAAACATAGGAACTTTGCGACAAGAAACATTACCATCTGTATTGCGCTATTATTTCCTTCCATTTAGAATCATTTTAAATGTGACGCCTCACCCTAAACCTACTTACATGCTACGTTTGGAACTAAATGAAGGAAACTGCATTGTTTAATAACTGCAGTTTGCACTTTAATAACTCTCAGTGCTGTGAATAATCTCTCTGTTCACAAGTAAATCTGCAGAAATTTGATTTTAGAATGTATGGTTTAGACTTACTAACTTCCCCTTGTAATTACTGTTAACCTGTTATGTTGAGACGAGTCAGATGTGATTATGACTGTGTTCTGCTGTGAAACTACTGAGATACGTGTTAGATCAAGATGGGTAGCCAAGTTAGTCTGTCTGTAGCAGTAGAAAAGAGAAAGAGTCCAGGAGTACATAAGGACTAACAACATAAGTGGCAGGGCAGGGTATGAACTAGGGTTTCCATCACACCCTGCCCCAGACAGCAGCATCCACCCACACGATGACGTCACTGGTAGTGATGTCATGACTCTGGGGCCATTGTGCAGTGATGCTCTAGCATTCGGGTGGGAATCTATGGTCACCACAGAGTTTTTGCCCCAAATGCTAGAGTGTCGCTGCACGACAGCCCTAGTGTGATGACGTCACTACCGGTAGAAAAAAGGAAAGTCCCAAAGAGGAATTGTCAACAAGCCATCATACCACCTTAATCTGTACTTTATGTAAAATAGCATTTTTGCTGTTAAGTTGAAAAAATTAAGGATATCATGCGTTTTAGGCCTACACTATCTGGTCATTTAAAACAGCGGTTTTCTTTGCTTCCTAAATTGGATCCTTTTGGGAACATTGGCCCTAGGGTTGCCAGCCTCCAGGTGGGGCCTGGGGATCTCCCGCTTTTACCACTGATCCCCAGCCGACAGAGATCAGCTCCCCTGGAGAAAATGGCTGCTTTGGAGGGTGGACTCTATGGCCTTGTACCATGCTGAGGCCCCTCCCCTCCCCAAACCACGCCCTCTCCTGGCTCCACCCCCAAAGTCTCCAGGTATTTTCCAACCCAGACTTGGCAACCCTAATTGGCCCTCATAAAAATAAACAGGAACTTTGCAGTTTGCTTGGTAACATGTGCCCCGAGAGAGCACCGAAGAGGCTAAATCCAATGAAGAAAAATAGCGGAACTTTTCTGTATATTAGGGGTCCCCCCACCATTTTGGGGTCTGTGGGTACATTTGGGGGTTGAGCCACAAAATAGCTGTCATAAAATGGCTGCCCACAGGAGGTGGAGCCAGCCACAAAATGGCTGCCACAGCTTACCTTCACAGTACTTACAGGGCTATTTTTGGGCAGGAACGCACAGGAACGGAGTTCCGGCTGGCTTCAGAGTTGGCCACGCCCACTACAGCCAAAACCTCTCTATGCACAGCTATGGAGGGAAGGCCTGGAGAGCGACACACACCCCCGGCAACTCCGAGGTGGGCGGGGCCTGGAAGGATCGGGAAGGCATTTAAATGCCTCCCCGTGCCTTCCCCGGCCTGACCAAGAGCCAGCTTGTCCAGGCTACCCACAGCCGGGGGAGCCCGGGCAAGCCAAGAGAAGGCATGGGGGTGTGGCCTGATATGCTAATGAGCTGCACTGTCATGGGTGTGGCCTGATGTGCTAATGAGTTTCTGCTGTTGGGTGTGGCCTGTTATTCTAATGAGTTCCTGCTGGGCTTTTGCTACAAAAAAAGCCCTGACAGTACAGATTCTTGTGCTGTGTTGGCAGCTGCTGCCAAAGCAACATTTAAATAAAAAACCTGTAAGTGAGAGTATTGCTAGTTAAGGAGTTAGAAAACAGAAGATAAAATTAATCAAAACATTAAAGAGCGAGTTAAGGAATTCAACATGATAAAACGTGATAAAAATCAAATGTGGTAACATCTAATGTGATAAAAATCAAAATGGTCTGCAGAACACGGATAAGATTAGGGGTCAATCGAATGTAATTATGGAAAAAATAGACTTTAAGATAAGCGTAAGATATCTTTTTATAGGGTAAGGCTTGAAAAACTGAGAGGAGAGAAAGAATGCGAGTGAAGCCTCTATAACTTGAGAAATGGTACAAAACGAAACTGGGGAATCTAGAGGACTTTGTGAACATACTGGGAGGGAAAGGATCTAGTAGGTTTTTTGGAGGATGACAAGTTGTTGGTGAACTGGAGATAATGCAGCCATGGGTGTTGCAGCTACCGACAGAATTGGTGCAAATATTGCTAGACAAATCCAGAAAGATGCTGTTCGGGGGGGGGGGGGGGGGGGGAGGAAAAACCCAAATGGCTGCCAGCCTATGTATTGCAGCTAATTGGAAAATGACGGCTGCTCCAATCATTTTAGAATAGTTTAATAAAATTTGGAAGATGGCCCTAATAACAACATTATTTTTGTCAGCTGTCAAATCAAAAGGCTTCGTTGTAAATATGTTATTGAAAGGCGGGTGTGTGTTTCTTAAGTCTTGGAACTTTAAATTCCAAAATGGAGTTCGCTCATAACGTATTTTAATATGTTATCACATGGTTCTAAACTATTTACATGAATAGCTCGTTAATATTTTTATTCTGATGGTTTTATGGAAAGTAAAAGAGAGGGTTCTCCCGTCATAGTTATACTACACCAATTCCCGGAGTCAAAAATGTAAAATTTAAAACATCTGTTTGGCTCGGGCGCTACTTTGGCTGAGGGGAAAGAAAGGCCTGACTGTGTATGGAATTCCCTTGTGTCCGTGTACTCAGCGCCTTTGGACTGCAGCCAGCACCAGGAGAGACTTAGTTCACCTTATAAATCAAATGTTAATTCCACTAAAGTTAGAGTATAAACTCAGTCAGAAGACTGCTTGCACAGGGCACAATCTGTCTGCAGTGTAGTTCATCTCTGCCTGTATGAACTGTGTTCAGACCAAAGGTTGTGTTCACTTCACATAGTGGTTTTACCAGCGATTCTGGTAAGGCAGCCTTCCCTACCACAACAGATCTTGTGCGTGCTACCCATTAGACATTCTCAACACAGTAGAGACAGGGAATAAGTCGCATTGAAATAAGTAACGTTTAATTCCAAATATCCATAAGACTGAGCTGGAGAGAGGATCTTCTATTTTTCAGAGTCTCCTGAGAGCTTTTAGAAGGATGTTCCTGCACTGTAACCCTGACCTGGATAGCCTGGGCTTAGCCCGATCTCATCAGATCTCAGAAGCTAAGCAGGGCCAGCCCTGGCTAGTATTTGGATGGGAGACCACCAAGGAAGTCCAGGGTTGAGATGCAAAGGCAGGCAACTCCAAACCTCCTAGGAATGTCTCTTGCCTTGAAAACCCTATGGGGGTTGCCGTAAGTCAGCTGTGACTTGTGGCCACTTTCTACTAGCTCCTGTACTATGCAAAAGAAAAATCTGCCTGGTAAAAGAACAGAA